AGCCAATGAAGCACAAGGTCCTAGGTTCAAAACAAAAAAGAACTAAAGCGAGGCACAATAGCTTGTGCCTGTAGTTTCAGCTACTTAGGAGGCTGAGAAAGGATCATCTGAGCCAGTCTAGGTTTGATACTGGCCTGAGTAACATAGTGAGAAAAAATATAGAGAGAGGTGGGGGGAGGGGGAAGGAAAGGAGAAGGAGGAGCAAGAAGGAAAGGGGAGAGAAGGGGTGGGAAATGAAAGGAGGGGAAGGCAGGGAAGGGGAAAAAAAGAGCAGGGAGGGAAAGGGAGGGAGAGAAAAGAGGAGGGAGAGGAAGGGAAGGGGAGAAGAGAAAGAGGGAGAGGAAGAGGGGCAGGGAAGTTACCCAGGATGCCAAGAACAGCCTGATCATACCCACACATGCTTGTTTTTTCAAGGAAGTTCTCCATTAAGACCAAGTTACCAGAACCCAACCCTCACTCTGGTCATGAACACATACTAACTGGGATCTGCCAACACAGCAATGCTATGCCAGAGTTGGTAGAACTGGAGCTTTCTAGCCCTTCTATCCAGCATCTTCAGTGTGCACGTGGGCACACACCCCCTTCCCTGTCAATGAGAAAGCCCACGGGAGAGGGGGTGCTTCTAGACCAAATTCATTTAACATCAAAGAACCCATCAGCACTTCCCACTCATTCCCCCACGCATCCTACCTCAAACGTTCTGAATAAAACACTTGAACTTCTCACTGCCTGAACCCAGGGAAGCCCCCGCCCATCTCAGCCCCAGCAGATGACAGATGTAAATCCAGAAACACGATGTCACTGGTCTGTACAGCGTTTGGAGCAGGAAATGCAGAGTAAGCCCTAAGTCCCCCTAGGAAAAGAAATGGTTTGCCCTCCTTTGCTCTCCCCCATGACAAGCAAGCGAAGGCTGGGCGCCAGCCAAGCCCAGAGACACCCCCCCCCCCCCAAGAAGGAGGAACGGACGACGTATACCTGTGAGAACCAAGCCAAGACACCAGGGCCATGGGGAAATGGCCTGCAAACTCCGGAAGGGGTGGGGGTGGGGGGACAAGAAGAGAGCCACCCTGGCGACCGCGGCCAGCCTGTGCTTCGGAGGCCGGGCGAGGGGCAGGGCAGTCCAGGAGGCGCCCGGATCAAGGCCAGGGCCAAGAAGGAAGGAGGGGGGCATCCGGATGGGAAGAACCGAGGCAGGCCCAGGTCGCCCAGGCAGGAGCAGACAGGACAGGGGCGTTGTTCTTACCTCCTCGGGGCTGGCCATGTCGCGAACGGGCCGTGCTGCGGCCTCTGGAGCCGCAGCCCCAGGGCCTCTCGCCTGCCAGGTTAGGGATGCTCGAAGCCGGCGCGTCCGCCGCTCCACAGAGACCCCGGCAAGGGGCGGGTCTTCCCATCACTTCCGGCGCTCACGTTACGTACTTCCGCTAATCCTCAGGAGAGAGCTATAGAACCGCCATGTTGGGGGTGGCACCGGCCGGGAAACTGCTAGGTAACGGAAGGAACTAGAAGCTCCCTAACTGTCCTTAACTACCCCTTCGAGCTCGTTCTCCAAGCTACACAAGGCCCTCCTGGTTTTGCATGACCCCTTCCAGCCATACCAGCCTTCTTACCGGTCCAGCACTCTCCCGCAACCAGCCGCTAGACCTTTGTATTTGACCTTCTCGCTGCGGCATTCACACATCGCCTGTCTGTCAAAGCCACCTGTCCGTCAAAAAAACCTCCGTCACTGCGCACGCGCTAAGGTCGCCTGGAAGCGGAGGCGGGGAATGCGGTCGGAGCACCGGTGTGTGCATGGATGCAAATAACAGGAAGCCCCTTTTCTACAATGAACAGGCACTACGGGCTAGGAAAGTGGCTCAGTGGAAGAATGCTTGCCTCGTATGCGTGAGGGTTCGATTCCTCAGCACCACGTACATAGAAAAAGCCGGAGGTAGTGTTGTGGCTCAAGTGGTAGAGCGCTAGCCTGAGCTGAAGAGCTGAGGGACAGCGCCCAGGCCCAGGGTTCAGACCCCACGACCGACAAAAAATAAATAAATAAAAACTACACATAAAAAGCCGGAAGTGGTAAGAGGCTCAGGGGCAGCCCTCAACCCCTTCTTTTTTTTTTTTTGATCCACTCGTGGGGCCTGAACTCTAGGCCTGGGCGCTGTCCCTCAGCTCTTCAGCTCAAGGCTAGCACTCTACCACTTGAGCCACAGCACCACTTCTGGCTTTTTTTTTTTTTTTAATCTGCTTATGTGGTGCTGAGGAATGGAACCCAGGGCCTCACTCATGCAAGACGAGCGCTCTACCACTAAGCCAACTTTCCAACCCAGCCCCCAACCCCTGAGTTCAAGCCCCAGGACCGACAGAATAAATTTAAAAAAGAAATAAGAGCCGGGCGCCGGTGGCTCACACCTATAATCCTAGCTACTCTGGAGGCTGAGATCTGAGGATCGCGGTTCAAAGCCAGCCCAGGGCAGGAAAGTCCGTGAGACTCTTATCTCCAATAAAACCACAGAAAACAGGAAGTGGCACAGTGGCTCAAGCGGTAGAGCACTCGCCTTGAGCTGAAGAGCTGAGGGACAGAGTTCAAGCCCCAGGACCAACAAAAAGAAAAAGAAAGAACTAGTTGCCAGTGGCTCACATCTGTCATTCGAGTTACTCAGGAGGCTGAGATTTGAGGTTGCAGTTCAAAGCCAGCCTAGGCAGGGAAGTCTGGGAGAATATCTCCAATTAACTAGCAAGGAGTCAGAAATGGAGTTGTGGCTCAAGTGGTATAACACTAACCTTAAGCAAAAAAATTATTGTTGAGACCCTGAGTTCAAACAAAACAGTACCGGGGTGGGGAGTGTGTGGTAAGAACTAAGCCAGAATATGAGTATTGACTTCTAGGTAACTCAAAAGTATGCACAGGTTTGCTAGGCCTGCCCTAGTTTGTAACTCTTGTAGCTGTGGAAGCTAGATGTGTGAAACAAAGGGTGGGGGAGCTATACTCACTCCAAAGGCTTAGGAAAGATCCTTTCCTTGCTTCTCCCTAGTTTCCAGTGTTTACAGGCAATCCTGAGTCTTTGAGGTGCAGTTGCATCCCTCCAAGTTCTCCCTTAGCCTTCGCCTGGCCTTCTCCTCACTGAGTGTCTCTGTGTCTTGAACCCAGGACATGTACAAGGCCCTGGTTCAGTTTTCTATTCACAGCAAAAACAAAGACCAAAAAAAAGAAAGAAAGAAGAGGGGCTAGGAAAGTTGCGCAGTGCCTAGGAAGCAAGAGACCTTATGTACCAGCCAAAAAAAGAAAAAAGGAAATACTTATTACAAGTAGATTAATGTTTGTAATCAGGGCTGGGAAGGTGGCTCAGTGGTAGAGTGCTTGCTTTGCATGCATGAGGCCCTGGGTTCGCTTCCTCAGCACTGCATAAGCAGAAAAAGCCAGAGGTGGTGCTATGGCTCAAGTGGTAGAGCACTAGCCTTGAACTGAAAAGCTGAAGGACAGTGCCCAGGCCGAGTTCAGGTCCCACAACCGAGAGAGAGAGAGAGAGAGAGAGAGAGAGAGAGAGAGACAGACAGACAGACAGACAGACAGACAGACAGACAGACAGACAGACAGAGACAGAGACAGAGAGAGAGCCAGCCTGGCCAGGCTTTGGAAGGCCAGCAGCGTTCTGGCCCCAGGCAGGAAGGTGGGGCTAAATGATTCCTAAGAGAAACTGGACTGGAACCTCTGGAGCCTCTCCTTACCAAGGGCCTATTTCTCAAACAGGGCTGAGGACTCTGGCAGGCAGCTTTCTGTGTCCCATTCCATCTTGAGGGTTGGGTTTTATCTCCTGGCCTCTGTCCCCAGACAATCCATGCCTCTGACACAAGCCACACTCCTGACAGACACATGCCATGCACACCCCCACATCACTCTGACCTGTGAGGTCAGCTCCAGTGTCCTTTGCTCAGGAAATGTCTGGGCCTTCTTCCTCTACCAGCAGTGGCTCCACCTCCCCCAACCAGCCCTGTCCTATGATCCTTCATTACCTTTTGTCCAAAAAAGGCAAAATCACAGCTTTTCCTTTTAAAAAAAAAAAATCTGGATTTTTGAGCAGGGCGTGGTCATCATCCTAGCACAAGGGAGGCAGAGACAGAAAAATCTAAGGTCAGCCTGGCCTGAAAACCAATCTGTATTGGTTTAGATTCCTACAATTTACAGATGACACCTGTTCCTGTGGCTTTGCTCCAGGCTCTCCTTATTTGCCCACGTTCAACGTCCTGTCCTCTACCCTTCCAGCTCCATTTACTTAGTGCCTGCTGAGGGTAGGGACACACGTGGGTGAGTGAATCAATGGGTCCACAGAGTGGGCAGATGGAAGGATGGATACTCAGGTGGCCAGGGACTCGTTTCCAATGACAACTCATTCAGGGAAGCCCCAAGACCAGCCCAGTTGACACTCCACTGTCCCATCAGAACTGTCCTGTTTCCCAGATACCTCTGGTAATCTTACAGCTCAGAAGGGTCCATGGCTGCTGGCTAGCTTGTGCACACAGATGATCTGTCTGGATTTGCCAGGTGTCTGTCACACAAGGCCACCCACATAGGACCTGAGTCCTTCCCTCTGCTGGGAGCAGCCAAGCCGCTCAGAACACAGCTGACCCACCAGCAGCTAGCTGGTAGCCTGTATCCTTTCTCCTTTCCTTGTTAGTGGGCCAGGCTGGGACACCGAAGGGAGTCACAAAGGCCTTGGTTTGCTCAGTTCCCCAAGGTAAGCAAAATTATCTCTGGGGGCCTTGTGAACGTGCAGAAAGAGTTCCAGGAGCATCCTGGACAGCATAAGGGTAGGATAACAATTGGAGAGCTCTATTACCCACTCCACTTCTAAGGGGTGGTATCACCCATTCACCTTACCACACTTCTCCCTGCCCCCCCCACACCCAGCTAAGTCCCAAGGCCAGCTCCCCACCTGAGCTGCCATCATAATAACCTCAGCTTCCCCTCCCCCAGATTGCATCCCCACTCCCCTATCCAAGTCACAAAACCACAGCTGTTTTCAAGATGTGCACTTTTATTGAACTGGTCTCAAGTCAGTGTACAGGGGAGTCCTGGCCACTTTCACACCTCAACCCACTCCCAGGGAGATTTGAAAAGCCTTCGTTCATACATCTCATGTTGAGGGGGGGGACAAAAAGGGAGAGAAGGGTCACCATGGCTGACCATTCAAAAGAAAACAAAATAAAAAAAGTATTAAGGCGATTAAAAAAATGTCGCATTACACCATGTACACGAAAGCAATGTTGTCTCTCCCCTGAATGGACTGGGTGAGGGAGGGCTGATAGGCCACCCTCCTTCCCAGGAAGGAGGAGGCTGGGGTGGCTTTTGGGAGGGTGAGGGACTTCCTGTAACAATGCAATCTCACAATATTTGGAATGACTATTTAAAAAAAAAGACAATGTACAATCAAAGTCCTGGCCACATTGTAGAACTTTGGGGGTTGCTTGCTCCTGCTCCTGCTGCCACCTTCACCGTTCCAGTTTTTAAATCCTGAGTCAAAAGCGCCAAAAGAAACAAAATTAAAAAAAAAAAAAAAAGAAAAAAAATGAAGCCATGCCAATCTCATCTCGTTTTCTGCGCAAAGTTAGGTAATTTTTTTGTCAAGAGAGGGTGTATCGCAGCTAGGTAACAGTCCGCCTAGAAGCACTTGCGGTGCACGATGGAGGGGCCGGACTCATCGTACTCCTGCTTGCTAATCCACATCTGCTGGAAGGTGGAAAGGGAGGCCAGGATGGAGCCACCGATCCACACAGAGTACTTGCGCTCAGGGGGAGCAATGATCTGCAGGGAGAAGGCAAAAAAGCAACAGTTATGAATAGTGCTGACATGGTCAGGCCCACAGGAGGACCACCAGGTCCCAGATCAGGCTAGCCATCACCCACCTTGATCTTCATCGTGCTGGGTGCCAGGGCTGTGATCTCCTTCTGCATCCTGTCCGCAATGCCAGGGTACATGGTGGTGCCACCAGAGAGCACTGTGTTGGCATACAGGTCCTTGCGGATGTCCACATCACACTTCATGATAGAGTTGAAGGTAGTTTCATGGATGCCACAGGATTCCATACCTGAGAGGAAAGAGGAGCCACACATTCAACCTTCAGAGTAGACCCAAGGGGTCAATGCTGGGTTAAGAACAAACTAGGCCAAGTGGACTTACCCAGGAAAGAGGGCTGGAAGAGTGCCTCAGGGCAACGGAAGCGCTCATTGCCAATGGTGATCACCTGCCCATCAGGCAGCTCATAGCTCTTCTCCAGGGAGGAGGATGAGGCAGCGGTGGCCATCTCCTGCTCGAAATCCAGGGCGACATAGCACAGCTTCTCCTTGATGTCACGCACGATTTCCCGCTCGGCTGTGGTGGTGAAGCTGTAGCCTCTCTCGGTCAGGATCTTCATGAGGTAGTCTGTCAGGTCCCGGCCAGCCAGGTCCAGACGCAGGATGGCGTGGGGGAGGGCATACCCCTCGTAGATGGGCACTGTGTGGGTGACCCCATCACCGGAGTCCATGACAATGCCAGTGGTTCGGCCAGAGGCATACAGGGACAGCACAGCCTGAATGGCCACATACATGGCTGGGGTGTTGAAAGTCTCGAACATGATCTGTAGGAATAAAGATAGAGCTTGTGATGCTCTGGAAGCCACTAGGGGTGGCCAGACGAGCTTGAAGACATGCAGTGTGCAAAAAGGGAAAAAAACACAGCTAAGGAAGTGCTGGAGAGGCTCAGGATGGGGTTTCTATTCAGGCCTACTGTGCACCTACTGAATACACATTCCAAGGCCATCAGCCTTATTAGCTTTCTCACACGAGCCTGGTTAGTAGCTATACCACCCACAGGGTGGGCTTTTAAACACCTAATTGAAAAGGCAAACACGAGAGAAAGAGCTCATCTGGAAAAAAGCAAATAGAACCTGCAAAGTCCCAAAGGAGGCTCAGGGCAGAGAAGAAAGGTCCTATGGAGAACAGCAGAAGAGAGATCACATGAGAAAAGGGCGTGGCACAGAAAGGCGGGGCGGGGCAAGATGAAGGTGAGCTCAAAGAAAGACAGCGGTGACTGACCTGAGTCATCTTTTCACGGTTAGCCTTGGGGTTCAGGGGGGCCTCGGTCAGCAACACGGGGTGCTCCTCGGGGGCGACACGCAGCTCGTTGTAGAAAGTGTGATGCCAGATCTTCTCCATGTCGTCCCAGTTGGTAACAATGCCGTGCTCGATGGGGTACTTCAGGGTCAGGATGCCTCTCTTGCTCTGGGCTTCATCACCCACGTAGGAGTCTTTCTGGCCCATGCCCACCATCACGCCCTGCGGAGTGGAGAGACGTCCTCCTCAGCACGGGTGGTGTCCCTGGGTGGAGACCCTTGTCCAAAAGCCCCGAAGCCCCCATCTGCGGAGGGTCCACCCGCTGCGAGCCACCTACCTGGTGCCTTGGGCGTCCCACGATGGAGGGGAAGACCGCGCGGGGGGCATCATCGCCCGCGAAACCGGCTTTGCACATGCCGGAGCCATTGTCGACAACGAGCGCAGCAATATCATCGTCCATGGTGAGCTGCGGGACAGAAAGGAGCGCGGTGACCGCGGGTCCCGGGCGCGGCCACCCCCGCCCTGCCCACTTCCGGTGCGCCGCGGCCTCAGACCGCCAGGGGGCGCCGGCGCGCGCCCGGCTCGGGGACAAAGGAAGCCGGGCCAGGCGCGTTATTACCATAAAAGGCAATCGCTAGTCGGAGGCGGTTCCGTGGCGCGCGGCAGGAAGCCAGGCCCCCGCCCCCTCCCCACCAGGCGCCGGCCCCGCCCCCGCTCCGTTCAAACACCGCCGGGTGAGCGGGCGGGCGCGCGCAGCGGCCACACCCAGCGGCAGTGAGCACGCGCAGGCGCCTAAGCGCCGCGGGCACCCCACCCCTTCCGGACGCCGGCCCCGCCCTCACCCCAACCCTGGGACGTAGTCGCCGCCAAGGGTCTCAACGCAAGCGCACTAGCGCCGCGGACTGTGTCGCGCAAGCGCAGTGGCGTCCCTGCCCCCACCCGGCCCGACCGGCCTCGCCGCGCCCGCAGCCAATTCGGACAAAGACCCGAGAGGCGATCGGGCACCTCTCTACAACTCCCAGCCACCAGCACTGGGCATCCCCGGGAGGGGAGAGCATGCAGAGCCACCTGCATACCGAGCGAAGCTCCAAATGCAAAAACACCGTGTTTCTAAGTATTCACTCCGCGGCCCATCTAGACAAGACACCCCCCCCCCACCCCGACCCCAGCTCCACACCGGGACCCGAGCCTACCCCGGGCGTCCACGCCAGAGCTTGACCCCGGGCGTTCACACCGGGGCAAGAGCCGGACCCCGGGCGTCCACAACGGGGCCAGAGCCGGCCCCCGGGGTCCGCTCCGCAGCTCGCCCCCCCTCCCCTTGCGCCCCACGGCGCTGGGCACTCACGGTGGGCCGCCGCCCTTCGGGCCGGGTCGGGCCTTACCTAGGTGTCGGTGCGGACGGGCGGCGGAGTGAAGAGTCTGCGCTCGCGGCTGGACGCGGTCTGGACAGTGGCAGCGCCTCGCGCCGCCGGGTTTTATAGCGCGACGCCGCGGCCGCTCGAGCCATAAAAGGCAACTTTCGGAACGGCGCGCGCTGATTGGCCGCGCGCCGCTCACTCACCGGCCTCGCCGCACAGTGCAGCATTTTTTTACCCCCTCTTCCCCTCCTTTTGCAAAAAAAAAAAAAAGCGAAAACGAGATTGAGGAAGAGGAGGAAGAAGAGTTTGGGCCACCCTGGGGTGCTGGCCCCCATGGGCCCCAGGCTGTGCGCACGGACCCTGCCCTGCCGCCCTGTGCCCCCCCCCCCCCCCGCGCCTGGTACCAGACCTGGCCTGATCATCTGGTGCCCCCCACCCATCACGGGCCCCTCGGGGTGTCGGTGTCGCACGATCGCGGTGTGCAGTCAGGTGGGCGAGGGTCAGCATGGATGCTGGATTGACCTGAGTTTTTAATTAAGGTGCATGTGAGCCCTGAGTGGTCAAGGCATCGTCGCCCCCCCCCCCCCTTGGCTAACTGTGGCTTAGCCCGGGCAGGGTGGGGCGGGGGCCGGGGTCCTCGTTGCTGGGACCCATGTGGCCAAGTGTGAGATCTGGTGTGAAGCATCTACTTAGACCTGGAGGAGTGGGTAGGGTGTGGTTGGTGGAACCAGAGGGCTTTGATTAGGATGATTAGGATCAGTTATCACAATAACTTTGGACAAGTAATCTGGGGGACAGGGCCGGCTCCAGGTGTGGAGGCCCTTAGAAGTACCCTGAAAAGTCCCCAGTCCACCATTGCCCTAAAGGCCCAGGAAAAGACATTGCTCTAGCAAGAAAACTTAGGGAACTAGGGACTGCTGCCTGGTCACACCCAGCCAAGACTAGGCCTGGGCCGTTAGCTGGTGGCCTTGGCAGCTGCCAGCCTCTGCTGGGCTCGGACTGGCTGAGCACAGCTCTGGGCCTGAGCCCACCACCATCCACAGTCTCTGTCATGGAGCAGCACAGCTGAGCTCCTCCCAGGCCATCTGGAGGTGTGAGACTCTTCGGAGGACAATGTATTAGCAGAGTTGGAGGCAGGGAATCACTAAACCACCCAGAGAAGACCCTCTCTGTGACATCCGTTTTGTTTTGTGTGTGTGTGTGTGTGTTTGCCTGTCATGGGGCCTGAACTCTGGCCTGAGCTCTGTCCCTCAGCTCTTCCTCAAGGCTAGCACTCTACCACTCAAGCCAGAGTGACACTTAGACTTTTTCTGCTTATGTGGTTCTAAGGAATCGAACCCAGGGCTTCATGCATGCAAGGCAAGCACTCTACCACTGAGCCACCTTCCCAGCCCCTTGACATCCATTTTGTTTGCTGAGCAAGCATCAAACAAAACCCAGAGGGGCTAGGAATGTTTTGTGCCAGAAGTTGGGGGCCTGGCAAGGGAAGCTGAACCCACAGTTTGCAACAAGGGCCCAAGGGACACCAGAGAGACAGCAGAGATGACAAGAAGCAAGGATCTTGCCAGCAGAAAAATGGCAAAGGAAGGGTGCTCCAGGTGAGTCCAGGGCCTCCTCAGGGCTTAGCCACAGGCAGGTGCTCCAAGGAGCTTGTTCATTCAGACCAGCAAGGGGCCAGTCCATATATGGACTCAGAACAGTGGCCAGGAAAGAGGCTGGACCAGGGCTGGTGTCAGGCACTTTGAACAATGCAGAGGCCACAGCTGAGTGGGAAGTGACACCCCTCCCCCCCCACACACACACACCCCTAGAACACAGTGGAGGCCTTGGTGCCTAGTTCCCACAGAGCTGGAGAAATTTGACAAAGCTCCCCCAGTCACCACCCTGGGCCCGGGCAAACTTTCCCAGCTAGTTTACTCCCTGCCTCCAGGGGACGGGACTGCTCTGGCCCTGGCCTTGTATCTCTCCCTTTTTGGGCGTCTTGCCAACTGCCAATTGTAGGACCTGTCAGTCCTGCAATTCACTACTGAGGTAAAGGTGCCCCCCCCTCCCGCCTACAACCTGTTGATGAGGGCTGCCTGTGACTGTTCACCAGCTCCTCCCCACTCCATGGTGGGGTGTCTGGGGGGATTATGTTGCCCACCAGGGTTGTAGTATGGAGTAGGAAGCTTCAGGCAGTTTACATGGGAATTGGAACAGACTTGATCTCCAAGCTGGACCTGTGCTTCGACTTTTCTTCTCAATCAAAGGCAAGCTGAGGAGCAGGAGCTCCAACCCCACCCGGCCTCTGGCTAAGACAATTCTGATCAGGCCTACTGGTTTATGACTTCCTCATTTGCAATAGCTGTTGGCTGATGCTCTCCAATGCATCCTCCAAGGCCCATTTCAGAAAGTCCACATGGGGAGCCATTTAGCATTTGCAACATAAAATATGTGTTCTTTCACACTTCAGAGAGCAAAGCACATTCATTTTTTTTTGGGGGGGGGTGCGCATGCGCATCTACTGGGCCTTGAACTCAGGCCTGGTTGCTGTCCCTTAGCTTTTTCACTTCAGGCTGGTACTACAAGGTTTGAGCCACACCTCCTCTTACGGCTTTTTAGTGGCGATAAGAGTCTCTCATGGACTTTGCTGCCATTTGAAACAGCAAACCTCAGATCTCAGACTCCTGAGTGGCTGGGTAAAGTTCTTTGAGCGTCTCCATACCACGTTACCCACATCACACACACACCCCAACTCCTCCCTAGTCTCAGCTCTGTTAGATAAATAAATGACTCACTCCCTTGGGGGTCCTCAGCCTGCAGGAAAGACCCCAAAGCAAATGGCAGATTGGAGGATGAGGGGGGTGGGGGATGCTGAGCCTGGAGTTGAATAGAGAAGCCAAAGAGAGAAAGCAGGGGGCTGATGGGATGGGGGGGGAGGTAGACAAGGAAAAGAGGAAGTGGAGGAAGGGGGAGGCGAGGGAGAGGAAGTGAACTGGCTCTTCCTCACTAGGGAACTTTGCCCTTGCAAGGAGTTTTCACAGTTGTGGCTGGGCAGGAACAGGGTCCAGCCGGGCTTAGCCAATGAGAGGCTGCCAGCCCCTGCACTTTCTTTTCTCCCTACTGCCTCCCCGGTCTTGCTCCAGCTGTTCCCCCCCCCCCCCCAGGACCTCAGGGCAAGGGAACATTAACTGTGTACACTCTACTCCCTGGGCTCACACCAGGCTACCTTGCCTGGGGCATCAGTGGAGGGGAGGTGGGGCCTAAGCTCTCTTTTTTTTTTTAAAGAAGGAGAAAGAAACTGCAGTGAAGACTTGAGTTCATCCCCTCTTCCCCAGGTTTCTTGTATACAGCTGGTAGTCCATGAGGAGGCTCACAAAATAAATAAGGGAGGGCCTAGAACATTCCATATGCCAACACACACACACACACACACACACACACACACACACACACACCCTTTATTTATTTATTTATTTAACATGTGAGGAAACGTGTAATGGGGCTCATTTAAAAAAAAAAAAAAAAAATCCCAGAGCTTGAAGTCCAGTGGAAAGGCCTCTACACTCAGCGCTACCCACTCTGGGGCAGAAGCCTGGCCTAGGCCTGGCAGAAGAGGGGGTTGGGGGGGTGGCCTTCCCTGGTAAAGTGACTTCTGGAATGTCCCCAGGGATTTGGTCCAAGAGCTGCTTCAAAGTAAGAATTCCTGGCCCCACCTCACTCCTTACCAGAAAGAATGGCCCCTTAGGACCTGGGTCACACAGCACACAATGATGTATGGTGTGGGGTTTTGAGCTAATCTTAAATTCCTCTCTGAGCTTTGGACCTGGGGGATACAGAGGTGGGAGCTGAGCATGGAGTTCCTCCAATCTCCTGCCCAGTTATTCATCCTTAGGGTAGTTTCAGGCTGCCCCTTCTCAAGACCCCTGAGGTGACAAGTAACACAGCTAGGCTCATCCAGCTTAGAGCTGGGGGCATACACAACTGCTAAACCGGAAAGGCCTTTCCTTCAAAGTAGTTCCTGGATCATGCAATACCTGCGTGCATCCAACAGGCCAGTAGCAACTAGCCAGGCATGCTTTCCTCAGTTTTCCAGGAACTGTTTCAAGCAATGGGAATAAAACAAGGACAATCCATGAGACCAACCTCAAATGATACAAGAGAACTAACTTGCTGGTGCCAGAAGGGAAAGCAATTTTTTTCCTTAAAAAAGGTCTTTGGGGGCTGGGAACGTGGCTCAGTGGTACAGTGCTTGCCTTGCATGCCTGAGGCCCTGGGTTCGATTCCTCAGCACCACATAAGCAAAAAGAAAAAAGCCGGAAGTGGCGCTGTAGCTCAAGTGGTAGAGCTTTAGCTAGGAGCTGAAGAGCTGAGGGACAGCGCCCAGCCCCAGAGTTCAGGCCCCACGATCAGACCGCCCCCTCCCCCCAAAAAAGGACTTTGATGTTTCCATATTGAGATTGAACTCAGGCCCATGAGCTTGCTGGGTAGTTTCTATACTGCTTGGGTTATGCTCCCAGCCCTTTTTTTGCTTGTTTTTCTGTTGTATTGGTGCTTGAACTCAGGGCTTTGCACTCACCCAAGGCTAGTACTCTACTACTTGAACCACAGCTTCAAGTTTGTTTTTTTTTTGTAGGTCGTGGGGCTTGAACTCTGGGCCTGGGCACTGTCCCTCAGCTCTTCAGCTCAAGGCGAGCGCTCTACCACTTGAGCTACAGCGCCACTTCCGGTTTTCTGGTGGTTTGTTGGAGATAGGAGTCTCACGGTCTCTCCTGCCCAGGCTGGCTTTGAACCGCGATCCTCAGATCTCAGCCTCCTGAGTAGCTAGGATTACAGGCGTGAGCCACCAGCGCCCGGCTAGCTTCAAGTTTTAATAGCTAATCACAGATAAAAGGACTTCACAAACTGGATTGGCTTTAAATTGTTATCCTCAGCTCTCAACAGCCTCAGTAGCTAGGATTACAGTCATGAGCCACCAGTCTCTGGCTTTTATTTATTTACTTATTTATTTTTGTCAGTCATGAGTCTTGAACTCTGGGCCTGAGCACTGTCTCTCAGCTCTTCAGCTCAAGGATAGCACTCTACCACTTGAGCCACAGCACCACTTATGGTTTTCTGGTGGTTAATTGGAGATAAGAGTCTCACAGACTTTCT